AGACAGACAGAGAGACAGACAGAGAGACAGACAGAGAGACAGACAGACACAGAGACAGACAGACAGAGACAGAGACAGAGACAGAGACAGACAGAGACAGACAGAGACAGACACAGACACAGACACAGACACAGACACAGACACAGACACAGACACAGACAGACACAGACACAGACAGAGACAGAGACAGAGACAGAGACAGACAGACAGACAGACACAGACAGACACAGACAGACAGACAGACATGCACAGATTGACAGACCAGCACAGATAGACAGACCCGCACAGATAGACAGACCCGCACAGATAGACAGACCCGCACAGCTAGACAGACACGCACAGATAGACAGGCAGGCAGGCAGGCAGACAGACAGACAGACAGACGCACAGACAGACAGCACCAATAGAGCAATAAAGCACCGGATATGTGGAGCTAGTCTGAACATCCAGAAAAGCACACTTTGCACATCTTAGCAGAAGTGGAGGTCCTGCAAGGTACCAAAAAGAGGATTTGATTGTCTCGCTTTCCACACTCCGCATAAACCACCACCGAGTTGCTCATGCTCCATTACAGCAATAAGATGTTCGATCGGTTGAGGCGGTGCGACCGGCAGCGCTGGTGAAAAATCTTCGACTGCAAAGTCAAGCTCCTGGTTGTGCCCACTTCACTGCGTCACAAAAACCTTGCACCTTTCTTACTCAGGGTTCGGTGATCCTTTAAACTACAGTATTATAGACCTTTTCACGTTAGCAAAAGAAATCAAAAGGCAAACGGTAATAACAAGAACTGCAAGCAAGCCGCCTTGCTGTGCATCTCGTCGTCCTTGTCCTTGCTTGCTCTGGACCTGAGTCAGATCAAGCGCCCTGCGACTCCCAATCTTCTCAGAACCCTTCTCTGCCTTTGGTGACATGCTTCTTAGGATTTTCTACGCTTGACCAGGATCCTTCTGAGCGAATGACTCCGTCTCTGTGACTGAGGCATTGACTCTGTCTCAATCTCAAGTTTTCGAGTCGCGAAGGGATCATCCTGTTCTTCAAGACGAGCTTTGGGGAGCTGAGCTTCGGAGAGCTGGGCTTCGGGGAGCTGAGCTTCAGAGAGCTGGGCCTGCGTCTGGAAGGGATCTGGGGGGTCTGCAGGCCATTCCATCTGCTCTGCAGTTCCGAAGCTCGTGGGAGCACTTCCATCTGCGTCCCAAGCAGTTGAATTCGCTTGGTGAAAGTAGCCCTCATACAGCTGGTTCTCAGTGTCAAGGTGTCCACCTAAAAAGAATCGTCGTGTGATGAGGGTTTCAACGACCTAAAATGACCTGATTGAACCCCATCAGTGGAATCATGAGAAGCCTTTTCGAGGATTTCATGTGATTCACAGCTTTGGACATGTTTAACACGAGGCTTCACGGTTTCACCATACCGTTTCACCGTCAAAGCAGTATATACAAAACTGGCACCTTGAACATCACCAAACGTATCTGCAGCTTCGAAGGTCGGCGGATACAAAGGCTCCTGGATGAGAAACGTGACATGACTTGCTCAGTTCTGCAAGAAAGGGTGTTCACATGTCTTCACATGCCATCTTTTGTCCGTCCGCGAAAATAAAGCAAGCAAGGAAACATTCGAGAAGCCAGCACCAATAATGCATAAGAGGTGAAAAGGAAGTCTGTCTTTCTTGCCAGAAAGCTGGGTACACTCCGACTCACTGGACATGGAAGTGACAAAAAGAGTTCCGCTTGCACTGCCTGGTTCCACTTCCCGTAGAACACGAACATCTGGAAGGTCGGAAATCAAACGAATTCCGAAAATCGCTGATCTGGGCGGTTCAAAACAATTTGGGTCGCGGCCTTGGGAGTTTTGTTGGGTCACAGCCTTGGAGGGCTCGTGGGAAGGGCAGCACGTTTTCCGCTCCTGCTCCAGCAGCACTGGACTTACTCCAGCTCCAGCCTGGGCATGTGCCACCAGCCGCAGAGCTGCACAGAAGCGATCGAAGTCCACGGAGCTAAAGACTTCGCCGAAGGTCAGGGACCAAATTTCTGACAACCTCAGCTAATTCTGACATCACAAGGCATGAAGAAAGATTAAGAGTGCTCCTATGAGATCGTATCAGCATCAGGGTCAAAGCTATCCTGTGTCTTTGAGACGTCTCTAGTAACTGGAAATGTTGGGTTGGTGTGTCCCTTTCACTGCACAACTTCTGGCTAGAGAAAGCCATCACAAACAGCCAAACTACGGAAGGAATGTGATCTCTATTGGGGGTCATGGAGACTTAAACAAATTCTTGTGAGCAATTGCTGACACAGACCATGGAATCAGACCATGGAATTGGCATAGTTGCTTGGCATTGCTTAGCAGCATCAGCAGCCCTGCAATGTCCTTCTTATACTTCTTTTGACCAAAGCCCAACAACGAAACAAGACCTTTCCAAGCAGCGTTTCTCTGGGCAGGCCGCTCTGCGCCAGGAAAGGTGCCAAGACATCAACTGTAATGCCCTCGCCGCCCAGCCGAGCGTAGTAGTCGCCGTAAAGCTCCAGCTCCGCAGCATGGAACGACATCAAAGCACATGGAACGACTTCAAAGCCATGGGATGGAGGCCATCGCTACTAGGCTGGAGGCCATCGCTCGTAGGTTGGAGGCTAGCAAAATAGCAAGTTTTGGCACGTGGATGGGAAGTGAATGGTCCTGATGAGGTGGGCCAACGTCACAACTGGAATTCAAACCTTTCACACTCTACGTTTGTGGGGAGACTGCCACGGCGATTTTTGCTGGACCACTTTGCTGCACAGAAGAAGCTCCACAAGAGAAGTAGCTTCTGCTGCGGTCCAGGCAAAGTCTTCAAGAATCTAGATGCTAATTTTGAGGTTATGGTGGTGATGGTGGCGGGGCTTCAAAATCCGGAAGCCCACAAAGTTGGGGATCAATCGCTCGCAGAATGCAAGTGACTTTCCATTTGCCTCTCAACTGTGTCCCCGTCATCCCTTTTTCCACACGCCCCTGTCTATGCTCTGCCAACATGTTGTCAGCAACCTGGCGACGACACGCAATGTTTTTGCAACATGGCACCCAAGGCTTGTGGTTGTACTAACGTTCTGAAACAAACGTCGAAGTGTTTGATTCAGTCAATGCATCCATTGTGAGGATTCAAATGCTTGGCCTCACGCAATGCCAAGCATCTTGCTGGTTTGGTGGCCAAAGATCTGCAATACGCACAAAGGAGATACGTGGATTGGACAGGAATGGATCTTCCAAATCTCCAGTGTGCCAACACAACAAAGGAATTTTGAGAAGCCAGCCTGCGTTACCTTGCATGCAATTAGAAAGTGAGAGCAAATTGACCAAGGAATGATTGGCGACATTGCAGCTTCACAAAGTGAGAAACATCCAGGTTCAATACAATGCATGTAGTAGTCAAACACACACAGACAAACTTAATTGATGTATCAAGCCGATCGTTTTTTCTCTGGGTTGTTTGCATGGGTTGTTCAACCGTATCAACCGGTACGTAGTAGGTCAACAGATCCTACAGCATCTTGGCCAGCTGCCTGCGTCGCGACCGTGCGAGGAAGTAATCGCGTAAAGATCAGGAGGATCACTTTGTTCAGCGCTCCAGTTGCCACGGCTGAAGTCCTTCGTGTCGCAGATGTCGAGCTGCCGCGTTCGTTTAGGAAAAACATGGAAAAACGTAGATTCTGATTGTAGAAATGCTTCTCTACCTGATTGATTAAACAGCTGAAGAGAAAGAATGTCCCAATCATCACCTTTGCAGAGGGGGTACTTAATATATATATATATATCAACGGTCAGCTATGACTCATGATGTTCTTTGATCTCTCTGCGCCTCCCCAGGTTGGCCAGGCACTCAGACACCACTTCAAAAGGCTCCTGGCGTTGGCACGACAGGCCGACCCCTGACCCGTTTGGCATGGGCAAGGGTGAAACGGGCACGATGACTCAAATCCTCAAAGCCCCAGTTTGCAACAAACAGGAAATTATTGTATACAAAAATGTAATTATGTGTAATATGTAACCACATGAAGTAGCTACCTGCAATTTGCTGCATTTGCTTTATCTTTTGATCATCTGTTGCCCCAGATACAGGATGATAGAGTGGCCACCACCAGCGTCCGCTTGCCCCACCAGCTCACCGTTCCGTCCTGCTCTATCCAGGACACACGGGCTCCAGTGTCCTAAGATTGGCACGGCATTGGTAAACCCCAGACCACGTCGTTGGGGCCACGAACAAGCGAACAAGAGGCCAGGAGCCCCGTTCGTAGCCCTTGCTCCATTCGTAGCGATGCCAGGAGCCACGTTCGTAGCTTCTTATCAACATCCATTTTCACCTTCAGAAATTCAGAAAGAAGTGTTTCTCTAGTCTCCCAGTTGGCGCGAAAGCAACTGCGATCCCACATGTGCTCCCATCTTTTGTTGGTGCTCAAAAGGAACAACTGATAACAAACGTTGCAGGAGCTTTTCACTTCCTTCCAGGCACCGAAACCTCTTTCCCCCACCTCGGCCGCGGGAGCGCGCTGCGCCCCACCCCCCGCGCCGGCCGTCGGCCGCGGGAGCGCTGCAACCCTTCGCCACGGCACGGAGAAGCTGCTCAAATAGGTCGGGGTGATGGTCGCTCCAGCCACACAGGCCAAGGCATCAAGGCCTTTGGTTGCCGACCGGAGTGGATTCATCCAAGGATGCTCCAACAAGCAGGCAACCCAGTGGGACGCTTCAGGACCCTTCAGCACGAACCCTCTTTTTGGGACATGGAGGACTCCCAAAAAGAACATCCAAAGCGACGCGTCCAATTCGAAATTCACCTCGGCCATGGCTGAAAACATAGGCTACCCTCCAAACCTGCTGCTGGTCAACACACAAAATAGACAACAGAGATGGCTAGAGCTGAGGGAACCCTTTTTGCGAACCCTGAAGGAGCTTGGTCTAATGATACTGAAGTCACATCCACACGGATCACCGTTCTCACCGCTGTCAGACGCCTTGCGACCACCATTCGTCGTAGAGGCCCTCGGCCAAGGTGGTGATGTACGCCTGTGCTCGTCCGCAGGGAGCTGCACTCGAACAAACTGGAACACTATGCGGTGGGGTTTTGCCGTGGTCATGTAATCTGCCACTTGAGGCCATAAAAAGGCTACCTGGGCCTGGTTCGGTTTCCACGAGAAGTGCAATCGGCAACCTTTGGGGTGCTCACGTGACACTTGAAGGCAACCTGCTCAGCATTTTAGAAACACGGCACATCCAAGCCAGCACTGCCCAGAGAGGCCTTTTCAATACTATCAGCCAGCCTTCGTTGCAGCATAGTTTGCAACAAAAGCAGATCCTGCAATGATTCCATCATTCTAAGTGCAAACATGATCAAACATGTATGTATTTGATTGTACTTGTACGTGTCCGGCAATCGATCGCGGCCCATATAGCATCTAGTTGTTGCCTCTGCTTTCATTGAATGGGCACACACAGGATCTGCCATATCATGATGTGCTGTGTGTAAGAATGAATCTCGGATCCATCACTGCTCCTTATCATCAGGGGGTACTCCCACGACCCAGCAGCTCCTATTTCGCCCACCATCGATGACATCAGCACAACGCCACCTGGAACGCCTGCAGCAGTCGAAGGATTCACATCAATCTTGGTTGAAATTTTGGGAATCTGAACATCTCTCCCATGGATGTGTGCTTGTGACTTACCAACAGCACACAGCAAGAAACATCAGTCTGACGGGTGCCTCGTGCTTTCAATTGCTTGCCGAAGGCATGGGTGGCAGCAGCCACACCTTTGACATTCACGTCGATGGAGGACAAGAAGTCGCCTGCAAAACTATGGACTATGGAGATGCCTGCCATGTAATTACGCGTCCTTTGCTCCTAGTAGCGATGCCCTTTGCTCCTAGTAGCGTCCTTGCTCC